TGTTCGTTTTGTTCTATTGTTGACGACATATTATGAAAGTTTTAAAGTTTGCGAGGCAATGCGTCTAGTTTGAGAATCAATAACGTAAAAAAAAAACCGCCGATCAATGATTGCAAAATTTAACGTTATAACGTCAACGTTAACGTTAAGTGCAAATTTGTGCATACCGATACGTACCGGTACGTAGTGTTAACGATAACGATAATTTATGATATACTCCAAGTAGTACATGTAACGTAACGATGCATGTACGTACATGAACTACATGTACGTACATACGTATACATATCGATATCACACTACGTACCGGTACGTACAGAAACAACTAAATCTACCAGAATGTCTTTATCTTCCTTAGTATCATGGATAGAAACTGCAATTTCAGAAAAACATCTCAAATATTTTAATTTTGGCGCTTTTAAAGATACCGAAGTAATTGGAAATGGACATTTTGGCGAAGTATATAAAGCAACTTTAAACGACGACTTGACGGTAGCTTTAAAAGGTCTTTATGTAAAAAATAAAAACTTTGAACGAAATCAAAAAGAATTCGCTAAGGAGGTAGATTTATTACTTTATCTGATAATCAAACCACAAATAATAAAATTTAATAAAACTCTATATATCAAATTAGTTAAAATTTCTTATTCAAGTTCATTATCACCCAAACATTATTGATTTTTATGGAATTACTAAAGGTAGGTGTTACAATTAACGTTAATATATTATTGTTATCTGTAAAATCTATGAATAAATGTTATAAACTTCGACTCTACCAGATCCCAGTAATCAAAAATACATGTTTGTTTTTAATCATGCTAATGGCGGAACCCTTCGAGTATATCTGGAAAAAAATTTTACTGAATTAAAAGGAATTGACAAGTTGTCTTTAGCCCAGCAACTTGCAAAAGGGGTAAAGTGTATACACGATGAAGGCATTATTCATAGAGATTTGGTAAGAATCTTATTCATTTCTTTCGACTTTAAGTGAAGTTTAATCTTTTATTTAATTTTCTCATATCAAAGAACCATAATAATATCCTTATTCATAACGGAGAAATCAAAATCGCAGACTTGGGTTATTCAAAACTCTCAGACGATGATTTCAACTCGAAAACTGATTATGGAATTATAAGCTATGTTGATCCAGCTTTTCGAAAGGAGCGGAATAATTTTCGACGAGACGAAAGTCTGATATTTTTAGTGTTGGTGTACTATTATGGATGATTTCTAGCGGTCGTCCTCCATCTAATAAATATGGAAACGTTCATGAAAATGTTCTTGAGAAAGAGATGACAATATTTGAACTCCTTCTGAATACGTCGAGCTCTATCAAAATTGTTGGGACAATACACCAGCAAATCGTCCAACTATAAATAAAGTAAATCAAGACCTAAAAGCAATAGTTTGGTTGCCACCAGAATCTTCTGTTTTCGCACCTGAAACTTCATCTACTTTGAGTTCCGAAATATGGTCATCGATAGAGCAATTATCAGGAAATTCGAATTCATCATGTGAAGACTCTGAAAATTTAGTATCTTATCATGAAAAACTTTCAATTTCGAAAAATGCACCTGAAATTATTGTTGATGAATTATTAAATTTGCTAGATAAACAGCTTAATTACGAAAAAAATGTCTTGACGATTGGCAGATCACTACAATCATATTATCAACAGAACATGCCAGATTCTTTCGACAACATTTACGCTTTTTTTACTTTTTTACACAATTCTAAAGACAAAACTCAATATTGGACACTCTTGGGATTTTTCTATTATACTGGTTTAGTAATAAACAAAAATTTAGAGCTTGCAGCAAAAATTTTCGAAGAGTCAGCAACCAACAATCATGGTATGGCGCAATATTTTATTGGAAATTGCTATGAAGAAGGAAAAGGAGTACAAAGAGATCCTGTGAAAGCATTTCAGTGGTATATCAAATCAGCAATGGGAGAAGATACTAGGGGAAAATGTAATTTAGGTATATGTTATCAAAATGGAATCGGAACAGAGAAAGATGAGAAGAAAGCATTCGAGTGGTTTTGAAATCAGCAGAGGGTGGTAATGCTAACGGACAGAATAATCTTGGTCGGTGTTATCAAAATGGAATCGGAACACAAAAAGATGAGAAAAAAGCATTTGAGTGGTATTTGAAATCAGCCGAAGGTGGTAATGTTAATGGACAAAATAATCTTGGTCGGTGTTATAAAAATGGAATCGGCACAGAGAAAGATGAGAAAAAAGCATTTGTGTGGTATTTGAAATCAGCAGAGGGTGGTAATGCTAATGGACAAAATAATCTCGGTGTTTGTTATCAAACTGGAATCGGTACACAAAAAGATGAGAAAAAAGCATTTGAGTGGTATTTGAAATCAGCAGAGGGTGGTGATGCTTTAGGACAATATAATCTTGGTTGGTGTTATCGAAATGGTATAGGGACACAACGAGATGAAAAAAAGCATTTGAATTATTTTTAGAGTTATTAAATATTACAATTATCGGAGATTGGTCAGATTCTAAATACAGTAATTTGGATAATTGAAATTTGTTAAAAGAATCCACCACTTATACTTAACATTAATAAACTTTTTATTTTATATAAATTTTTATCATATTTGCATTTTTAAATAAACTTTTAGAAGAATAATAATTAATATGTGATTATTTCCAAGTTTGATAAAATAATTATTAAAAGTAAAGCAGATAATAAAAACCCAGCTACGAATGAATACTCAATAGTAATGCGTTATCCAAATCATTTCTGGTTAGGCACTAGTTATCCTCCTCGTTATGTCGATTTACACAAGTGTATTACTTCCAACTACGAAGAATTGACTTTGGATCAAAAATCAGCATATATATATATATTACATTATTTCCGAGCTGGAATAATTTACAAAAAGAACTTGTGTGTTACGACTTTCACCCTGGCTGGAAATGCATTATTACATATTGATGCTTTTATTGCCAACTTTGGGCTTGCAGATCCAGCAGACAGAAAATCCAATGAGTCTGGCGGTATTAAATGGAAAACCATATACTGAAGCGGTGGATATTTATAGTTTCGGGATTATTATGTAAGAGGTTATCACAGGAGGACGACCATTTGGTGAACGAATTCATGATATAGATCTCGTATGCGACATCTATAAAGGAGAAATGTTACTGAATTAACATTAATCTTCTAATTCCATAATTTGTATTCTTAGTTTCTACATGGAGATCTCATAGTTATTCCACAATGGAATCTCCTAACTCCGAAAGCTTCCTTCATTACGTAATTCCTAGTTTCTTGTGTGATTCGTATTGAAAACCAAATTTAGAAATGTTTCATTATGAATGAATATGTACTTAACGATAGTAATTACATGTATCAAGAGGACGACAATTATCTGGACAATTGAAAGACATTGAACGATTATTCTAAGAGAAACCATCAATGTATAATATTAACCCTAGAATTAACGTAGTGATTCAAAATTGTATATTGAAGCGTTCTTAAGTCTCTGAGAAGACATGCTTTGATCTAACAAATAACAAAGTTCTTATTCGTAATAGTAATAATATTTGTGAATACACTATTATTTTATTTTTCCTGACCAAACTTCAAACCTTGTGAGTGGATTGCAAGTAGTGGATGTCAATTTCTTTTGAATTGTTAGCTTAAACAGGCCGTGTCAATAAGTTCTGTGGAATTACCTTCTAGTATTAAGTTTTTCTTTGAACAGGCTGTATCAATAAGTCCTGTTATGGTTGAATAAGATTTTATTATCATATTGATTCGATTTTCGTTACAAGAGTAATTTTATTCTATTCTATTCCCCCCAAACGCCCTCCGTCATAAAGAAAAGGTCGATTTTTGTATAAGTCGCCACGGGAAGCCTTTAGAACACTCAAAGAAACCCTTTGATCGTAAATAATTTAGTCTAGCTCTCACCCCCGTTGTGGAAACCCCTTAATTGATTGATTGTTGTAATGAACACAACAGTACGACCTACGATATCAAATAATGTTCCTAAATTATTCACGTTCAAGTTTATTTATTATTGAAAAATGTTTTGATCCTATCCAGAAAAACAGACCAACTGCTAAGGAACTTCACCACTTTATTGACTCTATCTAAATAACTCTACTTAAACACCAAATACAGGCGCCTTAGTAAGAATAAAGGTTATTTTACGATTTTTAGATCAAATCTGATTTGAATTTGATCTGACCTGAAATTATCAGTTCAGGTTGATCTCAAATCCAATCTGATCTGATCTGATCTGAGCTTTATTCAAACTATTCTCAGTTAATTATATTCTATATATATTATGCTAAAAGATTTCTCCTTATGATTAATATTAAGTCAAATTATCTCAGTTAATCTTATATATACAAAAACACTTCTTTGTATTTGATAAAGAATTTGAATGCTTTGGTCTAAAATATGTAAAAAAGAATATTGAAAGAAATTTAGAAAATGATAATAATCTAAAGATAAACTAAATCTCTTACTTAGTGAATATGTAGGTAATAATTTTTTTCTTATATTGATCACAATATAAGGTCTAAAAAAGAAGCTTTATGAAAGCTATGGTGCATAAAATCTAAAGTCATCAAACGTTTGTATTTTATAAAATGGATAAACTTCTTTACTAAGAAGTAAATACAAAATTTAATCCGTGATTATGCTCAGAAAAGGCCTATTCTATCATATTCACGGATTAAATTTTGTATTTACTTCTTAGTAAAGAAGTTTATCCATTTTATAAAATACAAACGTTTGATGACTTAAGATTTTATGCACCATAGTCAAACTTTTTGAAAAATATTTAGATTTTCAGATCTTACTCAATATAATCTGTTCAATAATATGACACTAAACACTATTAAAGAATTCAAAAATCTTTTTGTTGCTATGAGATAGGAAAAAGTTATTTATTTTCAATATATAAACAAAATGTGAATAAATCAAAGATACATATAATAATAGGATGTTGAGCCAACAGTATCATTATGAAACATTCTCATTACCTTCTTCGCCACCCACTTCGTCATCTCCATCACCCTTAGCATCATTGTCGCCATCATCTGCATCATCTACGAAATAGTTCAAATCATTCGAATCCACCTAAATCGTCGTCATCGTAGTAGTAGTTCATCTGTATCCCTTAAATCAATTGACCCACCATCATCATCTTCACCACAACCACAACCAACAATATCATCATCGTCCAATTCTCATCTAGACAACTCAAAAACAAACAGACAGTACAGTATTCAATAGTGGATACTCTTATGAGATACACTAAAGTTAGTTGCAGTAAATTGATTGCGGGAATTAGGGGAATTGTGCGGAATTAAGAGTTTTCTGTTAGAAGAGATAAACTTTTTACGTGAGTATACTAAATTAATCGATTCTAGAGAATCGATTCCTATCCCCACTCGGAGTACATCATCTATGCTACAGTACGTACATCTTATCGTATCTTATCAAGAATCGCCTGGGTTGGGATGTAGCTAATTTCAACATGTGTAAAGATTAATACTGAAAATTCAGTAGTGTATACCCTTGGAAAAAGATTCAGATATAGAATACGTATAGCGATAGTTGTACCATATTGTGATTTGATCTAAATACATATGGTACAAAACTTGAGTATTTACCCATGTATCATACCTGATAATTTTTTAACGCATACACAAATAACTTATTCAAACATGATTTTGACTCCTTATGCATAGTAAATAAATAATGAGTTGCAACTCAAGTGCATACAAACCACTCTTTTCTTTATAATGTCATGTATTAGTTCAAATATAGTAGAGAAATAAGTAACAGACCCTTTAATCGTGAATATTTTTAGTTTAAACTGCATAACAAACCTTAATTTTAATACATAGTATAATCTCCATTGGTCTCTATTAGTGCCAAAAAACGATTCTTCATACTATTGGTTAATTTTACGGCAAGTTCGTTTTGAAGAGGTAACATTCTTTTGTCAATTCTGCCTTCAATCCTTTAAGTGTTTGAATTTTTTTCGATATCTTAATTTTCATTAAGCGCCAAATATTTTCAATCAGGTTTGATTAGGAAACATCGAGAACTTTGACATTATTTTTTGCCTTCCATTCGTTAGTTTTTTTTTATCGGTGCTATCGTCTTCTTGCAAAATCCAATCTAAGTTATCCTCTTCATAAAACTTGCTGGCGGAAGATAAACATCACTTTTCGTAAATAATACACATAAATTTGGCATCAAGATTTCTTTGAAAGCATATTAATTTGCCAAAGCCAGAAGATGATAAACATCCCACACGTTAACTTTTAAATGATGCTTACGGTACGAAAGATTACGAATTGCTATGCTTTCCCTGTTGATCGATTCAACAAAAGTACTCTCGTCTGTAAATATTACACTATTTCAGTCATAATTTATGTGATCGTTTGCCCATGTAAGCGTTTTTCTCGATGATTTTGTAGTAAAGGTTTAGGAATTTCATTGATATATTTGCCTCCAGCTTCACATATACATCGTACACTAACGTTTACACCTTTTTGTTTCCATTTTCTGTTGTCATCGTCATTTTTTATGATTTTTTTATGTTGTACATGTACTACATAAAAAACATTGCTAGAAAGCTCGAATGTTGTGTTTATTTAGTATATTATTATCCATACTGCCAACAATAATTCTTACGAAATATGTTTAGTAAGAAGAAAATAAAATTGCTTATTGCTTAAAACTATTATTCAATTAAGACAAATTGCATAACCAAGAAGTTACTTGTTTTTATATCGAACTTACGATATGAGTAAGACTATTCGAGCGAAAAAACTATAATCAATTTTTCGCGTCTGAACGTTTCATTATTATTTTCAATAAACCAGGAAAAATCTTATCGACTGTCATTAACACTTAGTTCGCTCAAGACTTCAATTATAATCAATTCCAGAATGCTACAGAGGGGACATTTTATAAAGTAAAATCACAAGAATCTTATTTCGTGAATTTTTGCTAACTAATTTTTTATATAGTCTATTACATGTAATAGAATTTGATTACATAGGTACAGTCAACCGCAAAAGTATCCAATCCCTTCTGAATTTCCGTAGATCATGTGCTACAGTGCTCGTCAGAAGACCCCCAAAAACTCCGAGCACAAAGAACATTATAAATGCTGATTATTGATACCTTTATATATTGGTAAACTTCTATATCGGGTATTGTATGTTCATAAACTTTCACGTCCCAAATATGATCAGTTATTTCATAACACATTTTAATATCCAATAATCGAATTTTTGACGTCCAGTGATCCAATTCGAGCAAAAATACCACCACTTGATTTTTCTAGATTAGACAAATCGAATTGTTATATTTTCGCTCAAATTTGATCACTAGACATCGAGATATTATGTCCTAAATTGACTAATTTATTGTATTTGGGGCATAAATGTTTATGAGCATGCAGTACCTGATATACCAATACCAATACCAATACCAATACCAATACCAATACCAATACCAATACCAATACCAATACCAATACCATTACCATTACCAATACCAATACCAATACCAATACCAATAATACCAATAATACCAATAATACCAATAATACCAATACCAATACCAATACCGATACTAATACCAATACTAATACCAATGCCAATACCAATACCAATACCAATACTAATACCAATGCCAATGTCAATGCAAATACTAATGCCAATGCCAACGCCAATGCCAATATGATATAATGTTACAATTGGTAAAACAAAAACAAAGAAATTAAATATTCATTATTAAACTTTTTGAATAGCATGATCCGGCTCATGAGTAGTAGAAGCAAAAGAATTTGATATTGACATAGCGTTGCTCAGAAGTTGTGACTCTGGTGGTGCATAGTAGCAACATGGTAAGAAGACTGCAGCAGATTTTGTTGTTCCAAACGTTAGAAATAAAAAGATTCCCCTACAAATAAGTAATATTACAATTATTCGTAAGATTTTGTCCCAAAAGCAAATACAAATATTAATAGACGTACGATGCGCTCCCAGAAAACTCTGAAAGTGTCAAATCCTCCGAATCAGGAATATTCTGAATTATACGTGGAATGTATGAAGCCAATGATATCATGGCATAAAATAAACTGTAAACGCATAGACGCACAGCTAATCCCAGCTTTATGGCTGTGCCTCTAGTTTGTTTTTGTCTGAATAGTCGCCAACGCCTGAAAGTCAATACACTAGAATGGCCTATTGCAAATACAATAGTTAATTTTTCGCTCGGGAATAATACATCGATAACCAAGTCAAGCGAAAAAACTTACAAGCAAAAAAAGTAGCAATAGCCGAAACAATAATTGACGGTATCATAAAAGCCAACCAGTCGTTCGACCCTTTACAATACAACTGATTCGGCTCCGCTCCCCAATTCTTTTCTCGGCGTGCACTTACCCAACTCGCCACCTGCATTATCGCATTGATTACCCAAATCCCACACGACGCATACCGAAAACACTTTTCTTCAATTCTCACATCATGCATCACTGTCGAATACCACAAATAAAAGGCCAACATCACGGCAAACAATTGCATCGGGTAAAACAAAAATAATGAAATTTTCTGTTGTATAATGCATAGGGAGGTTTCAAATGCGCGTGTGCGTAAGTCGTCACCGTATTTTATTACTGCGGGAAGGTTGGCCAGTTGGTTGATCATCATGCAGACGCATAATTGAAATAATGTCCATTTTGTAAAGTATGCTGGAGATTTTAGAATTATGAATATTAGAACGGAAAGTAAAAGGATGCTTAGTAGTTCTAATTGTATGTAGATTATTACTGGTGTTGAATAGGATGTCATTGAGTTTTATTATATTTTATTTTATTACACTGCTATTATTATTATTGGTGTACTTATCGTTATAGACAAGTTTGGTAATCTGGAATTTGACTTCTCATTAATAAAAGAATGATTGATGAGGTCTAAGTAATAAATAGCAAAGTGCATAACAAATTTTGGAAAAAGTTGAATGCTAGACTCAATTTCTATAGCTCTATTTATTACAAACAAAATTACATAACGATAAAAAATTGTCGCTTATCGTTATATTGTTGATCCTTTCATGCCTAGATCAAGGTTTCATATAATGCAAGTTGAATTAGAAGCATTATTTTCTCGGTTAATAATTAATATTAACTAGAATACTGCATCTAATTGTCTTTATTTAGTTGTTTATTTGATGTGATTCAACATCATATTATTAATCGCAAGATATGGAATTATTACCGAACCCAAAATTTAAGTTTTTTTTTGAACTTTTCGCATTACGATTTACTTCAATTAATTAATAAAATGAACCCTTTATAGAGCATATGTGCAAAAAAGTAATAAGAGCTTAAAAGGGACCATTTACATTGCGCATTAATAATTTGCGTTCATTCAAATATCGATGCTTCTATCCTTAACGTTACAAACGGATCATTGATTGCCGGCTCTTTAAAAATATCTGAATGATGCATACCATTGTACGTATTAATCGACCTCGCTGTAAAACTTGAAAATAAAGAAAAACAAGTACGTACAGTATTAGTATGATAAAAAAAACCCACTAACGCTAACGCTAGGTAAAGTTTGTTCGAAATTGATCATCTTTTCTTCTTTTAGGACAGAGCATCTATTTTTTATTTTTTATTCTTTGTATATTTCGCAAAGTCACAACTAATAAAGTTATTCGATTTGGTTTAGGCTATTGTTTTGTAATTTTCTACTTTTAATTAAATCGGTGTATGGGAATAAAAACAGTCGATTTATCGGTTTATTTATTTGCATTACGAAAACTTATCGTTATTACTTAAAAAAACCAAAGCTTTGCGCCAGCTTTATAAATGAAAATGAATGATTTTTCTGAAAGAAGTTACATGTATTTGGAATTGGCCGTGTGATCGTGACAATCTGTTGTGGTGCACGAACAATTTATGATTGATAAATCAATCAATGAATTACGTGCATCCGCTTAAAGGGAGAATTTGCACAACAAAGCGTCACTCAAAATGCTTTCTTTTAACAATACATACAGTACGTATACAATACTGTATAAAAATTCTTACAAAGAAACTTATAAAGCAGTACCGAAAATAATGAACAAATACGTTCAGCACCAATTTTCATTAACCAAATTTTCCAAAACTTTTTTAGTGAACTTTGAACGTGAAATTGACCACAAATGTTAAGCTTTAACACAATAAAAAAATGTCAGTTTCTAATATAAACACTCAAAATTTTGGCAATTTTAGCTTAGATATTATGCAAAACAAATCGTTACAATACATTTATGAAATGAATTTTTTGATGAAAAGCCATCATCATCATGTTCATTGGCTAAAAATGATATATACGAGCAATATTCGTCTAAATTTAATAGTTGGTATTAGAGATGGCGCAGCAAGTACGTGACGCTTAATTGTCACCTGTTGCAACACGTTGCAACTCCAAAATTTTATAAGCCGCAACTAGTTGCAACTAGGTGATGCTTTATTTTTCACCACGTTGCAACAGTTGCCGCGCCATCTTTAGTTGGTATGCATTTTAGCTAATAAATTCAATATTAAATTAAAGATAAAATATTAATATAAAAAATAAAACATTAAGATAAAAGATAAATATAGATAAGATAAATATTAAGATAAAAAATAAATATAATTAAAATATTAAGTTAAAAATAAAATATGAATAAAATATTAAAATTAAATATGGATAAAGTAAAAAAATAAAATAAAAAATAAAATACTAAAGTAAAATAATATATTTAAGATAAAACATAAAAAATTATAATAATAATTATATATATTTATTGGAAAAAATTCTAAATGATTTATTACAATTAGTATTAAATTATTTAGTTTTTATATATCAGAACAATATTATTAAATTTATTAATTATATGATTTTTATTTAATTTTTAATATTAATTTAATATTAATAATTTTAATAATTATAAATAAATTAGTATAGTAAATTTCTCTATAATCACACTTGTTTATAGTCACATCTCTCTATGATTACTTTAGTTTACTTTCCTATTTATATATAAATATAGCAAAAAAATTCTTTTATAGTCATATTCTCTTTATCATCACCAAATTTTACTTTCTCAAGAGTGATAACTATAGAGAAATTTGATTGTATTTATATTTATATTTTTATAATTTTATTTATAATTTTATATATATAAACTATAATTTGCTTTTAGCTAATTAATCAAAAAAATTTATTAATAATATTATTATTTTAAAAAATAATAATTAAATATTGTACTTTAATTATAATTATATAAAAATAAAATATTTTATTTAACCCAAAAAAAAGTTAAAAGTTATTTTTTTAATACTTATTTAGTATTATTATAGTATAGAATACTTAAGACACCAATAAAATTAAATATTTTTAAAATAAAAAATCTTTATATAAAATTCATATAAAAAGAAAATTATTATTTAATAACTAGATCTATTTATTATAAAATAATAATTTTCTTTTTTTATATAATTATTATATAAAAATAACTAATTTTATTAGTATTTTTAAATATCCTACATTATATTTAGTTTATATTAATTAAATTAAAAAATTAATAATTAGTTTAATAATATTAAATTTAAAAAGTACAAGATATTTGCTAAAAATTTTTGTTTAATAATTTAAAATTTAATTTATATTTTAATATAATTTATTAGCAAAAAGCAAAAAAATATAAAATATTTTTTATATTTATTATAATAATAAAAAATTATCATTTAAATTATTTAGCAAGCAAATTTGCTTGCTAAAATGATTTTTGATTAATTTTTGTACATTTTGTCTAATTTTTATAAGCTTAACCCCTCTCTTTCTAAGCTAAAATAAAAATATAGTCTATTTTAATTGATATAATCTAAATTTATAATTTTTATTTATTATAAATTGCTCAAAATATTTAATTTATTTTGTAATCAATTCTATAATTTTATTATAAAATTTTTTTAAAATTTAGATTATAATAAAAATTTTTTAAAATTGTTTATTTTTAACTTAATAGACAACTATATTTTTTATAATTGTTAAAAAAGTAAAAATAACTATTATATAATATATAATTAAAGCTAATATTAAATAACTTTTTTTTAAATATTTTAATGTTTGATAAAAATATATTCAGATATAAATTTATAATATTTTAGTAAGCAAATTTGCTTACTAAACTAAACAATTTAAGAAATATATAATTCTAAAAAATTTTAACTATATATTAAATTAATAATATAGTAACAATCAAATAATATAATAATATCAAAATTTATTAATTAAATATAAATTTCTTTCTTTATATAAAAGTTTACAATTTTACTAATAAAAATTTTTTTATTTTTATATTAAAATAAAGATAATATTACATATTTTAATATATATTTTTTTCAAATTTTTTAGATTTAATTTAATAAAGCTATTCTAATTGCATATAAAACTAATTATTTTTTTATAATTAATAAATTGAATTTAATCTTTTGTACTAGTTTTAGTACATTTTATAAAATTTATAAAGTATTCAAAAATAAATAAATTTATATAATTTTGATATTTAAATATTAATAAACATTCCTTTATATATTGATATGATTTTTATTAATATCAATAATGTGCTTGATAAAGAAATTATAATTATAAAATATGCAATTTTTCAGTATTATAAATATCCTAAATATAGTACATTATTAAAATTTATTATGTAACTTATACAAGAAAAAAATTAAACTTATGACTTTGAAAAATAAATCTTAATTTACATATAAAAAAAATTTATTTAATATAAATTGTTGTATATATAATATGAATATGATTAATTTAGCAATCTGTACACATACTTTATGTACTTATACTAGAGATGGTGCAGCAAGTATGTGATACTTATTTATCACCTGTTGCAACATGTTGCAACTCCAAAATTTTATAAGCTGCAACTAGTTGCAACTAGATGATGCTTTATTTGTCATCACGTTACAACAGTTGCTGCGCCATCTTTAACTTATATAATTGCAACAAGTAATTGTATGCATATAACAATCTAAATATCAATATTAAACATATTTTTCTTTGAGATAGAGAATCATTCTTAATATTAATAAGATGATGTTTAATACTTTTAAAATTCTGCTTTCATTATTTTTTAGTTTGATCAGTAATTGTTATATTGGAATAGTATTTAAAGATTAATTTTTCTAATTGCTTCCAAAAATCTATGTGTTTCATTTTTTGCTTGTCAGAAACAAATCTACAATATGCAAAAAAGCTATTTGTCTCTGTAACTGTTATTCCAATTCTTTTAACAGTATTTATATAGCAGAAGATCTTTAATGGGTCTCTTCTTACAGTTATAAGAGGAGATAGTGGATCAAGTTAAGTTTATTATTAAGAAAGTTATACGTTATAATT